AGTTTGTTCGGTAGATACGGAATCGCTTGTTCGCTGACGCACGAGGACTCGCGAAGTCTTCGTGGAAACGATCGTGTGACTCCTGCATTTACGAGGTTTCGAGGAAATTCGAACCACGGGGAGAACTCGCGACTGCACGTGGAAATTTGTTTAAAAGTCCCATTTGCGACTGCGTTTTTATGAAACGCGCGCGCAACCCGCGCGGATATTTTGTCGTATGAAGTGATGAGCGTCAAACGCATAAAGTCGGTCCCGAAATACTCATGACAGAGTTGACGTGAAGTACCATTCGCGAACAAAACAGTTCGATGCCACAAAATTGCTCCAATATATTTACAGGCGAATAATATAAAATGTCAACTGCGCGCGCGGAATCATAAACGTATGCGCGTAAAAACATCCCGTTCCGCCTAATCGTACGCGAATTTACCGGCGCGTAATTTCACACGGTGGTGTATCCCGCGCGCGGCGCTTGTGCCCGGAACCCGTATTACTGCACTGGTTAACCCGTGGGACCTCGGTAAATGATAAGAAATTATCTCGAATGTATATATCCACAAAGAAAAATTGTCATAATTTTGCGTCCTCAGGCGGGTTGAAATTCCGGTCCGCGAGAATAATGACAATCTCGCGAGAAACAAGCGCGGCGCGGCGCGGCGCGGCGCGGGCACGACAAGCCGGCCGAATCGCGCGGCCCGGCGTTCTATTAAGCTAAAATCAGGACCCGCCGCAGCGCGCGGGCTCGCAGCGTCGCTCTAAATTATTATAACGCGAGGAGATCCGCGTACCTTCGCGGACAATGAAAGGTACACCGTAACGTCGCGACGTTTGTTTTGTCGGCCTCGGCGCGGCCGTCCGCCCGCCCGCTCGCGCACCGCGCGCAGCGATGCTCTCTCGCCTACATTTCGTATATTTTATTATTACTCTCGCACTTTCCGCGGCTGGACACGGTAGCGTTGGCGAGGGGGTTGACGGCGGTGGTTAGCCCGTGGCCGTTATTAATGTCCGCGGCATGCCAGAAAAAGCGAGCAAAAGGCTCCCGGTGCCCGGAGAGAAAAAGACAGTGGGCATCGGGTATCACCGGCACACAACGTTCTCCGGGATATACACCCCGTTAGTACATACGTCCCGCGCAGAACGGCGACACGGCCACCAGCACAAGCGCCAGGAGTTCTTAATAATTGATAAAAATGTACGCACGCACCGGTAAAGAGAACGGGAGGGTGGGAAGGGGAGAGAGAGAAAGAGAGAAAGATAGGGACGTAGAGGAGATAGCGGACAGAAGAGGGGAAGGGGGAAGAGGGGGGGGACAGGGACAGAGTGAAAAAAAGGGCTAGACACGACGGTGGTGGTGGCGGCGGCGGTGATGGTGGTGGTGGTGGTTGGTGGTGGTTGACTCTCACCCTCCCGGCTCCCAACCCTCCTGTGTCCGCCCGACTCGCCACCGTTTCGTTGACAAAGGCATACGCAACGATTTATTCGCACTTTTCACCGCGACCTCTCCCGGGAATTTTTCTTCGTTCTGTCACAATTTCGGAATTATCAGAATTTATGCCTACCCCTTCGCGCGCGTGGCCAGGCGCGCCCGCGCGCACATTCTGATAGGTATTAAGCTGTCTTGATTACCGCGATGGTTGCCCCACGGAGATGCTGCGCGTTCGATGGCGTTGAATATTCCTAAATAAAATGAATGGCAACAGGACCAACGCATTTAAGGGCGCTCGCAACCCCCCGTTATGTATTCGATATTCGTTGTCGCTGGCACCGAAAAAAGATTTGAAGAGAGCGTGTCATAAATATCCATTTTCTGATCATTTATATTAAATAAAATAGGCGTATTGCTATCTAAGATTCTAATATTGTATATTTTTTATGAGGGTAGTGTGATAAATAAAAATGTATAAAATCAAATTAATACGAGTACTTTATATTTCTGCATTTTCCCAGAATATCGCTTTGGTACCTATTTAAAAGTTCCAAGTTGAAAATTGAAGAAGACAAAAAAACACGTTTAATTTTTAAAGATTTATATCGTTTTTTTTAAATATTTATTAAGATAGAGGAATTATCAATTTTTAGACTTTTATTCAACTCGATGCTTTTGGTATTCATCACGTTAAAATGAAATGACAAAACAAATCGAGAAATCAATTTGCTTTTAGACAGTGTACCATACAGAATATTGTTTTATTAAAACGAGAAAAAGAGATATTAAAGCAATATGCGAAACTTAAATCTGAGATCGATAGAAATACTTAATAAAGGTCGAATTCCTTGTAACGAGCGTGGCAAGGATTTGAGTGACTGCAATCGCGATTTACTGTAGCTGGAAATTTTTCGTCGAAAACAAAAGAATGAAAGGCCACGCAGCTGCTCAAATCTAATTAAGAAATTCTTACACGGCAGTGCCGCGCATTCTGCCACACCCTCATGTCCCGACCTCACCTCTGTCTATCCCTCCCTCTCTCCCTCTCTCTCTATCTTTCTCTCTCTCTCTCTCTCGTCCAAGGCACGTCTAGAAAAATTAAAAATAATTTTCCTACGTAAACGTATTAACCCCAGTGGCGGTGGACGGGCTTTTTGCGCTGCGCTTTTCTCGCAATTTGTACAAAGAACGGCACGGACCTGACTTCAAAGTAGATCTTACACGGTGTCGTATCATTTTATTCCAGGAACTTCCCTGCGTATTACTCGTTATTGCGTTTAAGTCACTGCCGTTTCCGTCGCGACCGCGTCGCTCGTCCGCCCTCATTTAAGATTCCGAGACGAATTTCGTAACTTTTTTTCCGTAAATGGGCGAATTAAATAATAACGTTCACGTAGAGCGCAAACGATTATTAACTCTGTGCATGAGGATTAAAAAAAGGACTAAACAAAGCGTAGTTGTTTTTCGGAGAAAAACTGGACGGTCATTCAATCCAGAAAATTATCCAGACAGCATAGAGATAATGATAATATTTTGAGACTAATAAATTTGAAGATGTCTCTCTCTAGTGTCTTTTGTATAAAAAAAAGCTTCGTTAAACTTACGTATACAGATTACATAATCTGTAAAAAATGGCACTTCTGGAAAGATTCCTCGAAAATGAAGTGGAAAGAGATGACGAAGAGAATGAAATCTCTCCGAGATTCGAATATATTCCCTCGGAGTCAAATAATCCTTGTTATCTTCACGCGGATAAATCTGTAAGCTTGACTCTTGGTTTGTTGGTCATCGGTCGGAAGGCGCCAACAAACGGGAGATAAGCGACGGGCGCTGCTCTCCACCCCCGTTTCTCCCATCTTTTCTTTCCCGGCAATAAATCCCGGGGAAAAACCTATCTGGATTTTCCGCCCGTCCTTCCTGACGCTCAACCTAAAAATTCATTAGATTATAAAGCCATTAATGCTCATCCGGGCGGCCGAACGCACCTCTCCTTGCTTAGGCGCGAGTCCAGCCTGGATCGATGTCTCACATTCATGGAACCCCATTCACGTTCCTTTTGTTTCAATCACGTGCATAACGAACTGTATAGTCAATCTATTTTTAATGATTTTTTAAATTTAATTATAGGGGAATAACGTATGGTAATTGTTATACATTACAGATATAAAATTTAATTTTTCTGTATCTTTAGTGACCATCAATTAATTAGTTGCAAATAATAACCGAGTATTGCATAATGTAGTCAAGATATTCAGGATGTTGTATTTGATATTTTTTTGTTTCAAACTTTAATTATCGCTTTTGTATTATAGCAAAATTATAATTTAATATGTAATTTGTGAACTTATAAGTGGATGTTACGTCAAACCGGATATTGTGTACCATTACCTGTATTTTCTGATTGCAGGAATCATAATTTCGGCGACTTCGGGGCAACCACGGAGATTCAACGAGTGCGATGGCATCCGGGATCTACGAACGACTCTCATCTATTGATTTTGACATCTGAAAATTCTTTTTGGTAATTAAGAAAAAGTGTGCTACCATTCGAGTGGAATTATTTAAGTGAAACATCATCTTTATTCCAACTTACGTAATTGATTATTTTCAATAATTAAGAAAAAATGTGCTATCCGAATAGGATATTATTAAACTGAATTATTGTCTTTATTTTTAATTGCATTAATTATTTAATCGAACTACATATTTGCATTTTGCAATGTGATTAATTATTAGCTATTATGAATCAACCGAAACCCTCGATCAATCGTTCGTGTATACTTAATTCAAGATGAAAATAACTCACTTTTTAGTTACGCGAGAGAGAGAGGCATTCCTTTATAACCATTATAATTACAGAAAAACTGTGAAACTCCGGAAAAACGGCGTGACATAATTTGTAACTTGAATTCGCCTTCTTTAGGTCTTTCTCGCGTTAAACGAGGGCTTAAAAGTACGGGAAACGTTTATGCAAAACTAAATCTTAGAGCGCTTTAGCGGCATGCCGCGTCTTTAAAAATGTCGTCGAACTGACCTTAAGCTTCACTTAACTTCTCTCGCAGTTTATATGAATGCGAACTGGGCGGTGCACCGAGACTCGTAAAATGCTGGAAGGTCGGCCGCGCGCCGTCGAGCTCGCCATCGAAAATCCCGGACTTTACGTCCCTCGGCGAAACTGCAGTGGACTTCGATTTCGCCACTCCTACCCTGAGGAAGCCGGAATTGTTCGCCAACAAGAACACGAACGAGGTACAAGCCGACAACTTCGCGATTTCAAACAAGTCTCCTCTCTAAAATACTTGTTTCAGTTACTCATAACGTACTTTAATTATCTGTCTGTTAAGGATTTTCTTTTTGATTAACTACAGAATAATCATATTTCTCGCGCTATCCCATTACATATACGAATATTAAATTAAATTTTCCTACACGATTGTTGTTTAATTAATAACGGATGATAATCGCGCGCGAGTTTTATGATAACGAATTTGCAAACTTGAAAGATATTTCGCTAAAATTCTTGTCCTATTCGCAGTATTCAAAATTTTTCAGTAATAATTTAACACAACAATAATTTAAAGATCCAAAACGCATTTCGCACGAATATTCACTACTATACTAAGGGTTTAAATACTTTCAAATGTAAATTTTATTTGGATATGACAATAAAAAGCAAAGCTTGCTTTTAAATCGACGATAACTTCTTTTATTTTTTTTCTATTTCTTTTCTTATATAAGTAAATGAATTTAGTTTAATAACATATGAAGAAAAGTTTTCTGATTTTGACAAAATTAAATCTTTGCCAATATTTTTATTATCAAACTTTAAAATTTATACTTTATTATTATTATTATTATTATTATATTCTAATACTCTTAATTTGTTATTATGACATAATATAGTGTTATTGATATGTGAAATATTTATATGTAATGTTTCAGATAAAGGAAGCGGTAGATTGGAATCAGATCGAATGGCCGATCTTGGTGCTGCGTGGAAACGGCGAAGTACTAATCGTTCGTGGAAACTTTTTATTGGAGAAGTATGAACAAAATATTTTTATCAATAAAAAAAGATCAAGCGTATGGTCTCGCCTAATTTTTACAGCGAAAGAGCTTACTTTTGTCGATCTCAGAATTGCTTGCACTTGTGCCAGCAATAACGCCTATTTTCCTATTTGATTGTGGCTTTAACTGTTGTCAGCTATGAGAATCCAGTAGTGTTGGGTTCGCTGTCCATGTATCCGTCGACCGACGATAATTACGGGATAGATTCATGCTCTATCATGTGCCTGCAAACTACCCCGCCGATAGTGGTCATCGCCATGTGCACCGGAAAGATTTATCACGCGATACTGCTGCGCGAAATATCGGACGACGATGACGACGACAGAAAGGTATGATGTATAATAAATATTGCAGGACTTTATATGTATTCCATATGTCGCGGTTTCACGCGGAATCTTTTCGCTATTCTTCCCGTACTAATCGAGGACGGGGAGACAAATTTACGAGAGAAATTATTTGAGGAAAAAAAGAAACGAATATAAGAATCTCTTCTCCCTTCGCCAGACTTGGTCGCAATATGGTTCAAACTACAGTCTTCATACGCCGGACGATGCGCTTTACGTTTACGAATGCGTCGAACTGGAGCTCGGTCTTCTCTTTACGGATGACGATAAGAAATATAATTGTCCCATCCATCTTCACTGCGACAAGGGCAATAAATCGAGGTACTAATTGAGGAGAGCGTGCATATGGAATGTTTCAGAAGTATCGCAACTTCTTTCGCCGCAAATCAGTCAGAGCTTGATTAATCATTAATCAAAAATTGATTCCTTTTTTTTTCACGACAAAAAAAAGCGATATTTCCAAAGCATTCCGCATTGCATTCGATTATTGAGTGAACAAAATTAGTTTATCAATGTTTACTTGTGCTAGATATTTTTGCTCTCACAATGCTGGGATTCATATGGTGAGTTTACCGATGGTTTCTCAACTGGAGGAGCTTATACATGGTAAGTACATTTATGTAATATATATATATATATATATATAAAGGATATAGAAAAAAAAAGTATTTGTCACTTTACCAGCTTTATTGAAAACTATAAAAAAATTATATATATATATATAATAAAAATATTCTTACGTGTACGAATTTGAATAAAAATTTTATTAATTTATATATATATATATAATTATAAAAAATCAACAGTTTTTTTGTTAAAAATAAAAGTAAAAATTTTTAAATCAAAGAATCAGATAAAAATATTTATATGGCTAGTTTTCCTTCTATGTCTGTATTAAATGTTCTTGCGTAATATTTCTTTACGTCTAACAAACATTTCTTTTCTTTTCTCAGACAATAGCGGGAATTATTTGCCATCTTTGTTAAACCAATCGGTTTTACAATATCTATTTTCTACGAGAACCAAGCACACGAACGTAGACGAAGCTACGCCGATACTCGGCTTCGGTCTCCTTCAAGAGCCCTGTGTTCTAGTCGCATTGCTGCACACAGGCGTTGTCATCGATCTGTCGGTTATAGATCTTTATTATCTCCCTAGGATTGAACAGCTAGAACCGGTTATGAATCTTACGAAAAAGGTAATTACAAATGACATATAAAGTTAAATATTGCTTCTCATTTAGAGAGATGATATGGCGACATGTTATTTTCTTCACACAATCATAACTTTTCAAATTAATTTCTTATAAAATCGAAGCATATATGGGATAACGAGAGGGTTCTGTCGAGTACGAATGTATTGTTTTTACACAACCACTGTTTTACTCATCCCAAATTCTAAATATTATTATCGTACTCTATGTATTATAGTGCCATCTGTTTCGAATATCAAATTTCGTATTGAGATTTCTCAATTTCTTCTTTTATTCTTATATCTTTCATTTTGATTTTATTTTTCTATTTTTAAATGTTCTTCTGTGAGCTTAGATCTCTACGTTTCTTTTGGGAGAAAGCAAAAATTGTTGAAAATATTAATTATTTAGTAAGACTATATTTACGGCAAAACAATATTTTTTAAATTTTTTAAGGTAAATAAGGAACCATTCGACGTATACATCAAGAAATTATTGAGACGTGAGACATCGCAACCTATAACTAAAATAGGATCTCGCTCGATGTCTTTAAGTGAATCTTTAGAGGTAAGTCTAAATAGAGAACATTATACAAAACAATTAAAGCAATTGCTAATCTTTGCCACTCATAGAAATCAATACAAATATCTATCTTTTGTCTTGTGAAAATAAAAAAGGAGTTACATAGCAGAGTTACAATACAATAATAATCTGAAACATTTTTTTTACATTTCAGTTGTTGTATCACGCCACAAATATTTTTCGTACTCAACACTTCGTTCGACACGACAAAGTCCGGGAAGAAATCAGTAAGAAAGTACGCGCTTTGAAAGCTTTGAAAAGCCACCTATTAAAAGAACTCGATACGTTGACAGAGACGAAGAAAGAATTGCGACAGACCGCCGAACTTTTAGCCGAGCGATATGAAGATATTAATGATAAACAGAAAGAATTGGCCCGTAGGTGAGTGTAATTGTTTAATTACCCGAACAATATTTGATCAATTTTTCCGAATTATTCAAGTCATGTCAAGCAAATGAAAAAAACAAAATCTTTATTAAACATCGTTGTGGAGAAAAGAAAAGGTAAAATTCAAATTACATGTTATTTTCAATTACGCTTTCAGAGCAGAGGAAGTTTTAAGATTGGTCAATTACAAAGAACCTTCGATGACTTCCGTCGAGCGAGCGGAGGCGGAAGAATTAAAGAAAATGGACGTAAAGATACACGATATGAAGATTCGACTTGAACAGCTCAAGAAAAAGTCTGCTCAACAGACTGCGCATACTAATGGTACTGAGGTCAATGGAAAGACGAAAGAAATTGTTTTCACACACAATCAAGAGGAGGCAGTAAAGGAGACTCTTTGTCAAATGTATGTACAATTGTAAATTAATAATTCGAAATCTCTAATTTTACAAATGCAAATTGATCGTGTTACAAGTATCAATTTGATATATTATTACCGTATATTGTTTTCTTAGTATGATACATTTTTTTTCTTTTACAGGGCGAAAAATATAAAGAATTTGGTTGATCAAGCAAAACAGATCAGAGCAGAAATTAGTCTTTCATATATTAGCAAGCAGTAATAGCAAATATTATTAATGTCTAAATTGTAATTAGTGAATTTAAATTTCATTTTAAAACAAATTTGTATACAATAAAAGACTTACTTTATTTGTTAAATAATTTTTTGTGATTTTCTATTTTCGAGATTTCTAATGATGGTACAAATTATTTAATCTTATATTTATAATCATTTTATTTGAAGATAAAACGTCAAGATAAAACATACTACGTATATGTATGTGTGTGTATATACGATACAAATATATTTATAATAAAAATATTTTCTTTATTAAATCTTAAAATGTACAAAATGTTTTATTCATGCTTTATTCGAAAAACTATTAGAATATATATATTAAGGATATACATATTAATTAACGCGCAATTAATATGTAAAAAATATTTTATGAAGTAATTTTTTGCAGCATGAATTAATGAATTAAAAATCGAACACTGTGTCACTCGCTATCAACTTCATCAATATCGTCAGGTGGTGGAACGGGTGGTGGTTCGTTTTCAAATATAGGCATGATCTACGATGAAAAAGAGATTCCAGAAATTAATTTTCATAGAAATATGCACATAAATATTTTTAGAAAAATATGAAAGTAGAGATTATAATACCGTAGTAGATCGTGAAAATTCCGTGGATTTTGTCGATAAATCATTATCTGAATTTAATACCGACTTCTCGATATGTTTCTCAATTATTGGTTTCTCAATTTGTTGTTGGCCAACAGTTTTAATAATCGTGGAATTCACATCTTCAATTGCTTTAGATTCTCTGTCCTCTTCGTCGGGATCTTCATATAGTACTTGTAAAGTGATATGCTAAACATAAAATTTTAGATTTTAGAAACACAATGTTATAGTAAGTATATTTGTTTTACATATCCCTTACCTTTATTGTGTTTGCAATAGTTGATTTTACATAATCGAAAGATAATTCAGACCGTGATTCATCTGAAAGTTTTTCTGACAATGTGTGGTACGTTTTGTTCATTATTTGCTTAATTTCTTTATTTTTCTTCTCAACCTACAAAATAAATGAATTATATATATACACATAATATATATATATTGAATTGATAAGGAATAAAATTTGTAATTAGAAAATATGATCATTACATCTTTCTGTCTGGAAGACATTGCGTCGGCTTGGAGAACGTGCTCTCTATGATACTTAGAAAGTCTATCTTCTAAACTAACATTTTCTTCTTTGCACTGTGTAATTGTATTTTTAGCTACTTCTAAGGCTTCTTTGGTTTTCCTCAACTCATCATTTGTATCGGTTAGTCTCATTTCCAATTCTCGAAGCTTCTTGCTCAGCTCTTCATTGATTTGCAACAATGACTCTTTTTCCTCTATAATAACATAGCTTGATCATTATTAAACACATAAATTACATTAAATTAATAATAATGTTATATAAGAATATATAAATTATTATTTAAATACTGTATTATTTCAGACGGTCATCACCTTTCGATTTTTTTAAATCATTTTCTAAAGAACTTATTTTGCTCTGTGCCTCGCGAATTTTTTCATCCGACGTATCTTTATCAGTATTTTTTGGTAATTCGTTGTCTTTGATTCCTACTTGAGATGTATTGAGTGCCAAGAGCATTTTCCAAGAGGCATCCAAAGTTGCCTTATCGCTCGTTGGAGTTGTCGCATTTTGGAGCTCGAGTGCATGGAACTACACAACGTAACAGTTTTACAATCAACGCATCATCATCCTCTTACCGACATGCGTACCTTATCCAATAATTTCTGGACGTTATCGGATATTTTGGACATCCCCATTCGTATTTCCGCGTTTGCTATTCTCGACTCCGACAGCAACATGTTCATTCCGGGATCCAGAGCGGCCGGTATCGTACGATTTACGGCCTGCGACACGGGATACATCTGATTGTCCATCGTTACGTAGTGCCCCTGTAATTTCGATCGTCTTTCACAATTACGTCGCATCGATAAATTTAATTTAAATATAAAATAACGTATTAAATCGTACAGCGAAATACGGTGGAGCCCATTGTGGCGTTAATGGGGACGCAGCAACTAATGGCTTATAAGTATTAGAATCTAGAGAAGGCACTTCAGTTTTAGGCTCCACAGCTTTCTGAGCGGCCTTCCTTTCGTCTGACGACTCGTGGGACAAATTCTTCTTTTGCAAAGTTCCATCTGATTGTTCGATCTAACAGAATACGCAATATTTTAGCAAAATGTAGATTTTGTTGCCACGGAGAAATTTGCAAATTGGGACTAACCCTCTTGTGACGAGGAGATTTATGAGGTACGTCATCCTACAAAACGATATTGCTTCTTTCAGATCAGAACGATAATATCATAAGTTTTATTCGACATCTCATGGATATCAGCAGGAGCAATAGAAAAATATTAATATTAGCACCTCGGTATCCTCGGAATCAGTAGTGGAAGCTCGAGGCATTTTTGGCAAGATGGACTGACCCATTTTAGCCATTCTCGATATTATGGCTGCCTTCCCCGAGCTTTTAGGCGCCGGCGGATTTTCCTCCTGTACCCGTATATCGGTTATCTCTATTATCAGCATAACATCTCTCTCTTTAGGGAATCCAGGACCTAAACTAATCTGTGTAAAACTGTTTAATGCGGACCACATTGTTACATAATGCTGTATTCCACAAAAGTTTAATAAGCTACCTGTTTGCTAGGCGGTAAAAATAAAACTCTTTTCAGGCCCTTGCCGCTGTCCAGAAGACTTCTCTCCCAATTCTCGTCCGTCGATATTTCCACGGTCATCGTCTGCGACGTCGTGAAGTTCGTCTTGAAAGGCTGTACAATCTCGGTCCCCACGAAATACTTGATGCATATATTGTCTCCCTCTTTCGCGATCACATCTTTATCGCTTGGCATTAGATCTTGATAGATTACGCTCTCTCCTTTCTCTTGCGTAGCAAAATAGCGTGCCAGTCCCACTTCTATTGCGAACTCCAGATAATTCTCGTTGCTCTCGAACAAAATCGACCAATTCTCTTTGTTACTATCATAATAACTAGCGTAATTGTTCGCTTGTATAGTATACACAAAGTCACGTGTCACTGTGGCGACAGATATGTACTCTTGTTTAGTCTTGTACAAAATTATCTGATACATTCTTGTTACTGCGTTGCCTGTCAATGCCATACCAAGCTTCCCGACAGAGGCGTATTGGCCATTTTGCCTGAAATGCAATTACATCTAATTTATTACTAATTATTATAAGTGAAATGAGAATATATAGTTGTTTGCCTGTCAATTAACTCAAAATAAGCAGTATTCTCTCTCTCTTTCTTAGCAATTTTAACATAATTACAATTTTAACATAATTACAATTTAAAAGCATGTACTGCTTTCGCTATCAACACTTCTGTCTTGGAAGGTGGTGCAGCTTGCTGTATGTTGTATCGAGTGTTACTCTTCTTAGGTACTACTTGTTTAGCGGAATGAGAATCTGCATGCTTCGACTGTAGCCCAAAAATGGCAGCCAGATTAGACCTGAAAGACAACAAGATATTTAATATATATAATCCAATAAATGCCAAAACAAGACGAAAATTAGCGGAATAGGGAAACATCTATCATTTTCTAATAAAATCGTGACACAAGAAGTGTTCATAAAATACTTATAAGTCTGTGAACAAAATTCAGTTAATTAAAGCTATAATTAAAACAACGTTGTTCGTTTTCCAGTTGTTTCGTTGTACTTTTAATGTCTACGAACAAATGTATGCTTAGAAACAGGCTTGCACAACAGTTTCGCATTTGCACTTTGCGAATCATCTGTGATAAACAATAGATAGATATACATATAAAGTGATACGTACCCTCCCGAGGGTACAAAATCCGACTCGTCGTCATCCCGGAAGATCTTGTCGAGATTTGGCAACTGGTTTTGCGCACTCATTATTGCAGGAATTTAACGCTCCGCTTTCTTAATCGCATACGAACGAAGCGGCACGCCGTGATGACATCTCGTCGTCCGTTCACAGCAAATTGCACTCACAATTCATATTACATGCATTCACCATCGTACGATAGAAGCACGAGAGTGTGGCTGTTACCACCGAGTGCTCCGACTCGAGTCACGTGACGCGAGAGACGGATGACAAGTTGTGTGCGCGTGTCTGTAACGGTGTGGCACTTGCACACGATACACGTAGACGTGACATAACCCTTCCCAGTCGACGTCGTCGTGCGACATCCTGCCGCCGTTTTCGACGATGTAAAGTGTCTCCAGGGATTTTGTACGCGACGTGATCCTCGACGAGCGCCCCGCATTCGAAAGCTGTCGCACGATGAATCTGAGTAAGACGGAAAAGCTGTTAGCTGCGAAGAAGAAGGTAATTCCATATTCGGGATCATCGTGTTGCCCCCGCAGCTGTCACGTCACGTTCGACATAGTTATCGTGTATCAAATAATGCGCAGCAAGTACAAACTCATTCTCGCTGCAAAGTGCTCTTTATCGACGTAAATACGATAATGATCGCGTATAAAAGCGACTGAGACGTTAAACTCTTAAACTCTGCTAAAGGATGTTTTTTTTTCAAATTTCTAGCGCGGTAAAATCTCCACTTGTCAGCGACATTCGAATATCGTTGTGACTTTACGCGACTTCTTGTTACAGCTGAAGGAATTCCAACTGCAAAAAAAGTTGCAAGTACAAGAGGCCTTGAGCAAGCAGCAAGGAGACACGAGTGTAGCGGATGTATCCATATCACAGGTAATTATTCGGTCACATTGTAGAAATTCGTATATGTTTATATTTTCTGTGCGTATAACATAATTAGGATGCATGCTTTCTCCACAGTGCCAAACGAATTGCCAAACTGCAGAGGTGGGAGAATTGTGTGATCCAAGTGAACAGAATGATGTAAAATGGGGGGAGAAGCACATATTCGATGCCGACGCTGTACATAAAGAAGAAAACGTAATAAATCACTTCGACGGTGCTAATAACTTGCCAGATGCGATCGAGACTAATGTGGCATCGAGTGAGCTGACGGAAAAGAGCTTTCCCATCCCGGAGGACTGTCCAGAAAACGCTGCGTTACACGAAAGCGGCAATGCCACGCATTCGCGTCTCCAGCCGAATGTACAATCTGTGGGAAACGATGGGAGATACAGCTTCAGCGTGGCGGCGTCTAACGGACCGTCGACGGCGCAGACGGAATACCTGTTAGAAATGGCCTCGGAAGTTGCTCAGGCGCTCACCAGCGACACAGAACACGGTGAACCGCTGAGTTCGTTCGATCTGGATTTAAATTGTCGCAATCAGTTTTTAAGTTCGTGTCTGGAGGAGCAGAAGCAGCTTGTAAGTGACTTGCACATCCAAGTTAGTCGTTATGTAAGTATATCTTGAGACGCTGTACAGCAGCTGGTGGATCACAGTCTAATCTCAATGTTGTACGCGAAATTGAAATAGCACAGCAGAGTGGCCGAACTGGAAGGGATTCTGGCTACGAAGGATTCTGAGTTTGAGGCCAAACTGGTTCGGGAGCTAAATCCCCTGAAGGAGCAGTTACAGGTGCACACACAGACCACTGGTATTCTGATAGCAGAAAAGGCGGAGCTCACAGCAGCTTTGGCGCAGAGCCAGAAGACCGCGAGACAGAATTCAGGTTAATATTTTGTAATTTGCTTTCAAAGTGTCTCTGAATACGCAACATTTATCCCGACATCGGAGGATGTTATTTTTCCATTACAATTGAATCCCTGCTGTTTAGAGGAGATAGAGGAGTTGAGCGGAAAATTAAAACATAGCCAGCTTCGTATTAACGAGCTTGAAAAAGAACTCACTCAAACGCGGAGTAATTCCACGGACACTCAGAAAAATGCTCAGCAAGTGCAACAAGTCTATGACGAGCTCGAGAAGAAATATTGTGAACTCAGGTATTACACAGATATTAAATTTTTATATTGAAACCGTTTCATTGTTAATTATATAACGCTTTAAAATACGTATTAGGCAGAATAATTGAGGTCTATATTTTTGTCTGTAGAAAAGAAAAGGAAGATTTGGAATTGGAAATGTCAGAGTTAAAACAGAAGCTGAATTTAAAGAACACCGAATTTATTACTCTGCAACAGGAATTCCAAGAGAAAGCAGCCTTGCTTTCTTTAAATGAATTAAGGATACAACAGGTAAAATTGTATACGATTATTGAAAATTACGAAGCCGGTTTATGTCAAAGCTAACGCGGATAAATTGATTATAGCTAACTGATACGTCGCAAACGTTGGAATCTCAGCATCAAACTGTAACAGTATTAGAACAACAGTTGGCTCAAATGAGAGAAACTTTGAAGTTGGTGAACAACGAGAAGGATGAAGCCAGTAGACAATATCAAAATTATGTACGACAGTTAGACGCACAGCAGGCAAAATTGTTTAATGAGGTACGTGTATATATGTTTATATAATAACGAATTCGATTGGACGCACTAGTGCGCATTCAGTGCATATTAATTCCATTTTATACTGTTTTAATCTCAATGTAAAAGTGAAATATCTCAAATAATAAAATACTCAATACATATTTTAGCAAATAAAGAGTAAGTACTATTAAGACTTTCGCGGTTCAACTCGTTTCTATATTTATATTAATCAAAATTTTACATTGATTTGCGTACAATAGTTTTAATATGCACTGAGTGCGCACTAGTGCGTCCAACTAAATTCGCTGTAACTGTTCATAAACACAGTCACTTTACGTCGAGTAATCGCAGGTTGAAAGCGGAAAAAAAACTATCAGCGATTTAGAAAACAGAGAGAAAAGTTATATACAACGTTTATCGGACTTGGAACAACAATTGCAGCATGAAAAAAACAAAAGCGAAACTGTACTTACATCACAAGATCATAACGAGGAAATAACTAACTTAATGAAAAGCATCGAGCAACTGACTGCGCAGCAGGAAAGACTTCACATCGCGTTATTCGAAAGGGTAAAAATATGTGTAGAGAAAATAATTCATAAACTTAATAGAAGAAATGTTTTTTTTTATAACAAGATAATGCGCTTTTAGGATGCGGAGATTGAAGTGTTGACAAAAGAAGTGCAGGAATTACGAGATATGAAAGACGATGGGGCTGCTGCAAAATTAGTACAGGCTCTTGAAAGCGAAAAACTTGGTGCATCTAGAGCTGTTTCGCAAAATCAACAATTGAAGGAACAACTAACTGAAATGGAAAATGCTTTTGTCACTCTTGTGAGTAGAGCTACATAATATATGGTCGATCTAATCTTATTATATTTTGATTTAAGAAAAAAGAATTTTATAGTTTTATTTATTGCAAAAATTGATTTAGTTTTAAAAACTTACACAATTGTTTTCTTTTTAGAGTAATGCTAAGCTGGATTTGACAGAACAACTCCAAGCTGAACGAAATATTGGCCGAAAATTAAATGCAAGATTGAATACTGTCGAGACGGAAATGGATAATCTGAAAGAAACGTTAAAAGTAAAGGATGCATTCTTATTAGAATTTGAGAAAGAAAAATTGCAAAATGCTCAAATTGCGGATCAAATGCAGCATTATCAAGCGCAGTCTCATCATGCCCATACGCTGCAACAAGAGTTACAAAATGCCTTGGTATGTTTACAACATTTTAGTAATTTAATAGTTTTAATTAATTTCTAATCCTGATATATGTCTAGTGCGTGAGAATGTAATCCATGATTACAGTATTTATGATAATTTTATTTTTCATTATTGTAATTTATATATCACAGCTTTATATAGAAGATTTGAGAAACGAAAATGAAGAACTCGCGAAAGAATTAAAGGATAAAGCACAAAAGGAGACACATTTGTCCAGAGAGGCTGTAAACGTTAATGGAGATCAGCATATAATAAATAATGAGCAAAATTGCAATGATATCGCAACAACACAAAACTTACCACTGCCAGAAGATAAAAATATTTCAGACAATTTTGGGCCTATTACAAAATTAGAAAAGAGGTTTAAAGAAACGATGGAAAAGGTTGCTGAATTAACTGACGAGAAACAGAGATTGGAACATCTTGTTCTTCAACTCCAAGGTGAAACAGAAACAATAGGTAAGTTTTACTACTTTTGATTAGACATACTTTATCCTAATTTTTCATTTATTATTAATATTTTAATATGTTAATTTTTTAGCTTAAAAACTTTATATTATATATGAATATTTGTTTTAATCTTATATTTTTCACAAAATATATAATGTATATACTTGAATTGTTTATAAATCTTTTTTTCAACTGCAATAAGTCGTAAAATTTAATTGATGTGTGTATATTTATTTCAGGAGAATATATTACTTTATATCAAAAGCAACGAGCGATTTTAGGAGAAAGATGGAAGGAGAGAGAGCAGTCCTTCCGTCAATTAGTGGAGCAACGTAATCAGCAACAAGAACAGTTACATAAATTAAAAGTACTAGTTACTGAGTTGCTTAAGAAACATCCCGAAACACTAACAAATTCCACAGAAACTTGCATGGATTGTCATAAAGGTAAATCCCCTTGTATTTAATGTTTTCTTCTGTTACTTTCTTTGGTAATTTTTAAACAAGTATTCTGAATTATCTCTGATTTTATATGTAAAATAAAGAAAAAAGTATGATTATATAGGGTGTCTCGAATACTTGAGGAGCGTGTAGGGGATCGATAAACTAAGAAAAAATTCTTTAGAGATATGCTCTTTTTTTGCTTCGTTATGGAAAATCGCAAAAAAAACGTAGTTTTTATTTTTGTATTTCATTACTTATTTATTCAAGTTGTCAGTTCCTTAATGTAGATATTGTTCAAAATATGTGCCTGTTGCTTGACTCGTTATTACATTCTTTTGTATAAAAATCGATGCGCATATTCTCGCACCGCTTTTGAAATATTATCGTTGCAGAAATCATACACGAAATAATATTCCGTTTTCTGGTAAAAACTTTTGTTTACATTTCTATCTTCTATAAATTCGTCAGAAGCCATCAAGTGAATCAGTCCTGTCACAATATGTCACGTACATATTCTAACGTTGAATATACTGATATGGCTTTTCGCGTATTTACATTTTGAACAATATCCACATGAAGGTACTCACAACGTAAATAAATAAGTATAAATGTATAATTAATAAATAAGTACAAAAATGAAAACTACATTTTGCCTTTTTTGCGCTTTTGTCCAAAACAAAGCAAAAACAAGCATATCTCTAAAGAACTTTTTTTTCCTTAGTTTATCGACCTCCTACGTTCCCGAAGTTTAGACATTTAAATTCGGGACATCCTGTATATACGTATTCTTTTTATAGATATAAATGCCGACGCTATTGCACTTTCTGAAAATGAAAAGCAAGATGATGCGGAACTACCATTGATCGAAGACAAAACTGCATCGGATATTCTTGATCTTCTCACCGAAATCAAAGACTGTAAAGATGCATGTACTATAGAACCTAACTTTCATCCATGCCCATGGTGCTCTGGAAGGCTCATCACAGTGTAATCATGAATAATAAATTTGTTTAATCTTTGTTATAACCAAATTATATCTATGCATTATGTATGTATGTATATATTTTTTATATACATAAAAAAGATATATATATACACATATAAATTAGTCATATAGAATAGTGATACTTGTATATAGGAAATTCTTAGACTTTTTTAAACTTCTGTATCTATCTCTTGTAAAACGAACGCAAGATTTTTATCTGGGAGAAAGTTACCTTTATAAATATACAGTGCCTTGAATAATTTTGCAGATAGGATTTTTGTTTTCTTTCTCTCGCGCCTACTTACCAAGATGCTAAGATTGTGAGAGACGACCGATACTTTATCGCAAATAAACACTCAATATTTTAATGAAATTTTTATTTTGAATAGTAATTAAAAACGTACATACTATGCTTTCAAAGCATACTTTCTCTGCGGGAACGCAGAGCGCTTGCGTATGTCCTTCAGCGTTTTCCTGCTGGCTTGATAGGGGGTGAGAACACGGCGGATAGCCCTCGTTTTCTTGGGCCTCAAGTCAAGAGGCTTGTACTTCTTGTTCTTGTAAAGTAGACGAAGGTTTCCCTTCTGCTTCTGGTGCATAATAATGTACACTCGCGCGATAGCCTTCCTTACAACACGGCTGGAATATAACGATAAAAAGAATTAAAATTAATTAAAATTAGAAACACTGCTTCCGTAAAATTAACTTCAACGTGCTATGCATACAGAAAGAAGAATGACATATGCCCAAATATACAAATTTCTGAACAGACTTCAAAATTCCTTAAGTAAAATAAGAAACAAAGAATACCAAAGAGATAGGCACATAATTATCATTTTATGTAATTTTGTAAATTATTTATATCACAACTTAAAGTACTTTGAGAAATTTATTTTAAATTAAAAGAATTACAAAGACTTACATCTTGGACAGCTTTGACGCAGCTCCTCCAGTCACCTTGGCCACTCGTAGAGTGGTCAATTCTGTCTTGAGCTGCTCGAGCTGCTTCAGCAGCTCCCGCTTATCTTTGGTCCTTAATTCGGAACACTTCACTTTTGCCTAAAACAATTTGATATACGTGTTAAGTACATTCACATGTTGTATACTGTCCAACACAAAATCGAATTATACACGCGTTATAAATCCTCGTTACGAATCTAATTGTAATATTAATCGTTTCACTCTTGCCGATACATATAATTGTTGCGCAAAAGACATATAATCTTTTATTTCTCCAATTTGTAGATCGGAAGAGTGACGCTATCGGAATATTCAATGACGCGAGGTTATGTGACGAGGTTAATTATATCCTGTGAGTAAAATTCGGAAATATTCACAATCCATCGATTAAACTATAGAAATCACACAGCTTTCATCGACTAATCGAGGTACATTAATCGTTGATGTTCTAAATAAATTCGGATTACGATCTCACGCCTTCACTAACCATCTTGAATCGGCTTTCTATCAGCGAGGAAGAGAATCGCGGAAAAGAATAGGAGAACTGCAACTACTGTAAGCCTTGGAAAATAAAATAACCAACATGCCAATGCCATACTGAATATCCCTAGAATCAATAAGACGGGCGCCTTCAAGCCTGATCCTCAATCCTTCAATCCTCATGCAGACACCGCTTTGACACCGAGTGCGCTGATTGATGAAAAACGATTAATGGGAGTAAATAATAAGAGAATTCTCTCATTATTTATCCCTATCATGAAGTATGAATAAGGAGACGTAACTCGATAGATTTAAAGTGGGCACAAAAAATGTTCCGTAAATTGCCAAGTTCGCTGAACGGAATAAAGGCGAGAGCACAAGCTTTTACATAACGCTGCATAACGCATATGACGTAAGGCATAAGAGAATCAACCAATCAGAATATGAAATGAAAGACCACCGACGAGATACTCTTAAGGTCTATCTACAATGAGAGCAGTAAGTCGTAGCCGTAAGAAATTTACCAATCGCAGTCGATTATTCTTCTCATATTCGACTGTAATTGGTGAATTTCTTACGGCTTACGATTTACTACTCTCATTGTAGATGGACCTTTAAATACCGACAGCCTTACGAGAGTTAGCGTGGCATTTGGTAATTGCTAAAATTTAAGCAATTAGTCAATAATATAACATTAATTTTATGATTTATTAATAGATCAATGTTTTTTAGACATGTATATTGTAATTCATATGTATTATATCTTGCTAATAGTTAAT